ATTTGTTCACGTCTACCCCAGCTTACATTTCTAGCAGCTGCAAAAATTTAAATGCCCAATTCCAAAATGAACTTAAGACTCTGAAGAAACACAAAATAAATTAGTCCATCACCTCCAAGTTGCCATTACCTGCAAAGAATGCAATACAGAATTTGTTATGTAGAGGAGGTTCTACACCTGAAACACTCAATTATCAGCAAGCCCTTCGGAATTCCTATGAATACAGTAAGTTTTTGTTTTGCCTGTGTCATTGAGTACCTTGAGTACTCAATTTACTAGCAAGAGAGGAAAAAGATCAAAATAGTATTTTCTATTGACAAGTAAGGCCTTGAAGACGTAGGTTGTCTTCCAACAACACAACGTGTTTATTGCCAGTAGACTAGGACATCTTGTGTAAACTGAAGATGACACACTGATCTTTCCATCTGCTCATACACACATCCTTCTTTCAAGGAGCTTGAATGAACATGGTAAACATCAATCACAAAAGCCTTCCCAAGTAATCATAGGTGGTTTGTTAAGACAGTAGGTAAGGGACTAGGAAAGTCACAAATGTGCCTACAGGTCTTAACATTAGTCAGTTGTAATGAGGCAGCATCAGCAAGCTCTAAACAGTATTACATGCCCTGTAACAAGATCACTAAAACAATTTTTTTTTCTCTAAAATCAAGATTAGACTAAGCAGAAAAGCTAGTCAGTTCCCCACTTCTAATTGTTCTGGTTAGTTTGACTGGTTTACGGTTAACATGTATACTTAATATTTAATTATAGTTTTTACAGTTCAGTTTTAATATACAGACAAATGGAGCTAAATTAAACTTTCTCCTAAAATGCATGCACCATGGCCTATTATGCTAAATTCAGCATAATAGAAGAAGCACACTAAATTCAAGGAACCAAATGCATACACTACTTTGACAGGCAATAAAGCACTACATTTTTAAAACATCAGCATGTGCAGAAATGCCACTGCCCCTTAATGGACCAACAAGAGATTCTAAAATCTTTGTTCTGTCAGAACACACTGTATCAGTATTTCACAAAAACTTCACAGCAATAGATTCACATTTTTCTTACACATGTTCACAAGAAAACATTCTTCTGAGTAACTATTGAAGTGCTCAACCACACCTTTAAAACTACTAAGCAATCTGGAAAATTTGAGAACTTTTTCCACTGCTTAGACAACAGAAGGCAAATTTACACATAAAGTTAATCTGTGCTTTAAATGCACCATCTTCTGCATTAAGAAAACTCTTGCCTTTTCCCAGGTAATATTGGTTCTGTCTTTAAAAACAGCTTTCACAAAACATAATATGCAAAACATATTTAAAGATGTTTTATAGAGAAAGAGTATGTCTTCAATATTCATGGTCTTTTTCTAGCATGCTCTGCCTACTAGGGAATCTAAAAGTTGCCCTGCCACAAGGTAAAGCCCCAAGAAAACAACTGCTCGTACAGTAAACAACTGCAAAAAGTTAAGTGACTCGAAAGGAATTTTCCTATTTCATCAGCTGTATTTTAATATCGCACAAGGATTTTTGATATATCAAAATTCAATGCACAAGCAGATACAGAAGGAAGATGACAGACTAACGTATCAATGATAAAACATATGCTAAAAAAAAAAAAGAGAAGCAAAGATAACATTTTTTTACAGTTTTCACTTGGCAAGCCACTGCCTGTATCAGTAATTCAGCAAGAGTCCATGAACTTTTGCACAAGGAAAGAGTAACGATCCTGGCCCGATCCACTTGCATGCCACACAGGGACTAGGTGGACAGAAGCTGTTAGTATGAGAATTTTAATCTTTTCAGTCTGATTAGGAATTTTAAAAAAATTAAAAAAAAATCAGTATTTCTAAATTCTTCACAACAGAATGAAGCCCTTGCTCTAGCTTATCCAGGAGGAAAGGCTACCTAGGGGTGCTCTTGGAAAAGCAGAATGAACAATACATCCTAGATGCCTCAGCATCTCAGTAACCTGCCAAGTCGGTGAGTTACCAGAAGAGCAATCAAATCAAAGACCTGCACATAGGCAACAGATCTTCTTAGGTTCCATCAGAACTGTGGCAAAAGTTGGTCCATATATGCAAAACATTTCAATTTCACCATGCTGATAAATTTCAGATAAAGACTATTTCATCAGAAAATTTCCAAGCAATTGAAATGGTTGCCCAATTGTTTTGGCAATGATTATGTCCTGAAGCAGTGGTATCTGAGGATCCTTAGCCCACTCAGAGCCACCATTATCTGAAGAGCTTTATAGGCACAGAGGACATAGGAAAAGTAACAATAGGTCAGACAGGCCTTCTGCATGAAGTTTGTGAAAAATGTCAACCAATTTCCCATGATTCTCTTACGCGAATATCTCATTCTTCTAAAGCGATGCAGTAAAAGATGACAACAGCAAACTTAGGACTAACTGGTATTTTCACATGTACACCACATCATACTAGACTTGGTTTCATCAATTGTACTAAAAACTGACTTCTGTCTCATAGCTCAGACCATGAAATAAGAGTAAAGACTTGCCAAAGCTGCTGTGCAAATTAACTCAAAGTAAAAAGTGTTTCTGAGAATTGCTCGCTACTAGTCTCATTCTGCCCAGTGGCTTTCATTTACAAAAAACATGGAGAACCACGGTCCTACACTGACAATCAAAGCACTGGCTTCACTGGTAGTTGTTTCTACATAGAATTACCAAGAAATTAGGAGACAAAAATTTTTTTTTTTAAATCACATTTCAACGCAGAAAAAACATTCCGACTCACCCCTGAAACAGAAAAAAGTAGTTTTCTATTAAAAGGCATTTTTGTTGAAAACACATCTAGGGGAAAAACCCTTTAACGACCTCTAGAGAATACATATGACAGTTATAGCTACACTCACAACAGAAACAGCAGCAAAGTAGTCTGTCAGATTGTTTGGCTTTCTTAAAGGTTGCAAGATTGAGAT